ACTGTTGGTTTGGATGTGATGATGATGGTGGTTGTGCCTTCAGTCTGAGGGGGAGAGGTCCTGGTGGTGGTCGCAATGATGGTTGTGCCTTCCTTTGTCTGGCGTGTGGTAGTGGGGACAGCCGTGGTGCCAGCGGTGCTTCCTATTTTTGCTTCGGGAGTTGTGAAAATGGTAGAGGTTGAAGTTGTAGCCTGGGTTGTTGCATTGGAGGCCTCTCCTGGAGCAGTAGTTGCTGAGGGTGTTGTGGTGCTTCCCTCTGTTGTCCTGGAGGTGCTGGCGGTGCTGGTGGCTGGTGTGGACACTGCTGGTGTGGGTGTGATGATGACTGTGGTGCCTTCAGTCTGAGGGGGAGAGGTCCTGGTGGTGGTTGCAATGAAGGTTGTTCCTTCTTTCTTTGGGCGTGTGGTAGTGGGGACAGCCGTGGTGCCAGCGGTGGTTCCTATTTTTGCTTCGGGAGTTGTGGAAGCAATAGTGGCAGAAGTTGGAGGCTGTGTTCCTGCAGTGGAGGTTTCTCCTGGAGCAGTTTTGGCTGAGGGTGTTGTGGTGCTTCCTTCTGTAGTGCTGAAGGTACTGGCTGTGCTGGTGGCTGGTGTGGGCACTGCTGGTGTGGGTGTGATGATGACTGTGGTGCCTTCAGTCTGAGGGGGAGAGGTCCTGGTGGTGGTCGCAATGATGGTCGTGCCTTCCTTTGTCTGGGCGCGTGGTAGTGGGGACAGCCGTGGTGCCAGCGGTGCTTCCTATTTTTGCTTCAGGAGTTGTGGAAATAATAGAACCTGAAGTTGGAGGCTGTGTTCCTGCAGTGGAGGTTTCTCCTGGAGCAGTTTTGGCTGAAGGTGTTGTGGTGCTTCTTGCTGTGGTCCTGGAGGTGCTGGCGGTGCTAGTGGCTGGTGTTGGCACTGTTGGTGTGGGTGTGATGATGATGGTGGTTGTTCCTTCTGTCTGAGGGGGAGATGTTTTGGTGGTGGTCACGATGACAGTTGTTCCTTCCTTTGTCTGGCGTGTGGTAGTGGGGACAGCCGTGGTGCCAGCGGTGCTTCCTATTTTTGCTTCGGGAGTAGCAGAAGCAGGAGTGGCAGAAGTTGGAGCCTGGGTTGTTGCAGTGGAGGCTTCTGGAGCAGTTTTGGCTGAGGGTGTTGTGGTGGTTCCTGCTGTTGTCCTGGAAGTGCTGACTCTGCTGGTGGCTGGTGTGGGCACTGTTGGTGTGGGTGTGATGATGACTGGTGGTTGTGCCTTCAGTCTGAGGGGGAGAGGTCCTGGTGGTGGTTGCAATGATGGTCGTGCCTTCCTTTGTCTGGGCGTGTGGTAGTGGGGACAGCCGTGGTGCCAGCGGTGCTTCCTATTTTTGCTTCAGGAGTTGTGGAAGCAATAGTAGCAGAAGTTGGGGCCTGCGTTGCTGCAGTGGAGGTTTCTCCTGGAGCAGTTTTGGCTGAAGGTGTTGCAGTGCTTCCCTCTGTCGTCCTGGATGTGCTGGCGGTGCTGGTGGCTGGTGTGGGCACTGTTGGTGTGGGTGTGATGATGACTGTGGTGCCTTCAGTCTGAGGAGGAGAGGTCCTGGTGGTGGTCGCAATGATGGTTGTTCCTTCTTTTGTTGGGCGCGTGGTAGTGGGGACAGCCGTGGTGCCAGCAGTGCTTCCTATTTTTGCTTCAGGAGTTGTGGAAATGGTAGAACCTGAAGTTTGAGGCTGTGTTCCTGCAGTGGAGGTTTCTCCTGGAGCAGTTTTGGCTGAGGGAGTTGTGGTGCTTCCTTCTGTAGTCCTGAAGGTACTGGCTGTGCTGGTGGCTGGTGTGGGCACTGTTGGTGTGGGTGTGATGATGATGGTGGTTGTTCCTTCAGTCTGAGGGGGAGAGGTCCTGGTGGTGGTCACGATGACAGTTGTTCCTTCTTTCGTCGGGCGTGTGGTAGTGGGGACAGCCGTGGTGCCAGCGGTGGTTCCTATTTTTGCTTCGGGAGTAGTGGAAGCAGGAGTGGCAGAAGTTGTAGCCTGGGTTGTTGCACTGGAGGCTTCTCCTGGAGCAGTAGTTGCTGAGGGTGTTGTGGTGCTTCCCTCTGTTGTCCTGGAGGTGCTGGTGGCGCTAGTGGCTGGTGTCGGCACTGTTGGTGTGGGTGTGATGATGATGGTTGTGCCTTCAGTTTGCTGGGCACTGGTCCTCAGTGTACCTGTTGTGCTTTCAGTGGTTGTCATTTCTCTTTGGGGAAGGGCTGAGACAGTATTTGTTAATGGTGCAGTTTGGGTTGCTACTGTGGTGGTTTCTGGAGGGTAGTATGTGGTGGAGGCCCTTACTGTGGTCCCTGGAATTGCTGATGTTGTCTGGCAATGTTTACGGTCACAGCACAGCACTGAGACCTCATAGTCAAAGCACATCGGATACTTGACGGTCTGGTCCTTATTTCTGCACACGAGCCCAGTGTCAAGGCTGCACTGAAATTTTTGTCCCATTATTTGCACGATTCTGTCAGGGTAATCTTTAGCACGGCACTTGATGTCTTGTGGCTTGTCACACAGTGGATAACCAGCAGCTCGGATATTTTCATATGTCTCTGAGTCTCCATTTTGGCTACCAGGTGTAGGGGAGTCCACATTAAACCACTGCGTCCAGGCACAGCGCTCCTCGCAGTTGTCTGTGGTCTTGGAGGTGCTGGCAATAGTGGTGGTTGCTGACATGGGAAGTGTTGGTGTGGGTGTTGTGATGACAGTGGTGCCTTCAGTTTGAGGGGGAGAGGTCCTGGTGGTGGTCGCAATGAAAGGTTGTTCCTTCTTTCATCGGGTGTGTGGTAGTGGGGACAGCCGTGGTGCCAGCGGTGCTTCCTATTTTTGCTTCAGGAGTAGTGGAAACAGTAGTGGGTGATACTGTTGTTTGAATAGCAATAGGGGATAATACATTGGGAAGAGTTGCTGCTGTAGGGGTTTCCATGCTGGTGCCAGTGGTGGTTGTAGAGGTGGTGGCAGTGCTAGTGGCTGGGGTGGGCACTGTTGCTGTGGATGTCGGGACAGTCGTGCCTTGTGTTGGCAGGGCAGTAGTACTGGAAACTGCTGTGGTGCCAGCAGTGACTTTTGTTTTTTGTTCAGGGAGAGTGGAGATGGTATTGGGTGGTGTTGGAGCCTGAGTTGTCACAGTGGAGGTTTCTGCTGTAGGAGATGTAGTTTGGTAACCTGTTGTTGAGACTTGAGATGTCCTTGCTGTAACTGAAGTTTCAGTCAGAGTAGTTGTTCTTTCGCTGTCACTGGGTGATTTTGTAGTTACTTTGCTTGTTTGCACTTCAGTTTCTTGTTTTTGTGTTGTTGGTTTTATCTTTGTCTGTACTGTGAATTGTGTTGATTCTACAGCAGTAGTTGTTGTGAATTCTTTTGTGGTTGTTGGTGTTGTAGATTGTATTTCAGAACATGGTACATATCTGCAGCATGATATTCTGATTTCATAATTATAGCACTGCTTAGATTCTTGGTCCTGGTTATTGCATATTAATCCTCTGCTCTGACTACACTGTACTGTTTGGTTAAGGTGGTCGATTTCTGTATCTGGGTGTTCTTTAGCTCTGCACTGAATACCATTGGGGTTTGTACACACACTGTATCCTTTTTCCTTGAGACTTTCAAATGTTTCATAATCTCCACTGTCCTCTTTGTTTTCAGGCTGAGTAGAATCATACCATTCTGACCAGGTACACACATTTTTCACACATACAGTTGTCACTGGTGCTGCAGTTGTCATTTCTGTAATTCAAAGGAGGAACAATAAGTCTTGTCTGCTCTTATTAAAGGAAGTCCCAGAAAAAAATTATTTGTCTTCCATGTATTTTTTGTTGTATATAAATTTTTATAAAATGAAGTATTTTAATTTTAGAGCAATAACTTGCTTAGGCAATCTTGAACCTAGTTTCGAAAGTAGTTTTTCATCTTTTGTCTCTATTATTATTATTATTATAGTGGTACTTTCTGTGACATCTATTAAAAATTGTAGCTAAATAAAGCTAATCTGACATCCTTTGCATGGTACGTTAGCACTTAGATAATATAATCTCATGATTTCTATGGTACAAGTAGAGAAGGTTTATTCTCCTTGCTATTATCTCTGTATTTATTTACTCTTAACTGCATGAGACTGCATAAGACTTTAAAATATTTTTACAGAATAATGACTTTTCTACTTATTTTAATATTATGTAACATATTTATAAACCTAATCTAAAATATTATATATATTTAATATATGTATTTTGCATATAGTGCATTATAATAGAGAATACATATAGTATATATGAAATATATAATCTAATAAGTATTTTCTACTTATTTTAATAATATTTTTTTCATATTCTTAGCATTATGAAGATGACCATGTGGAATAGATACCACTTTCTTCATATAGATGTTGCTTAACAACATTCATTAACATTAAGAAGACTTAAATTTGCATATTTAGTTCTTCCTGTAGTATAATTTTGTGTGAATATTTCTCAAAATTACTGAGCATTTGGTCTCTATAATGAATTAACTGCAGGAATAAAGTAGAAGTGTACTGCAGGAGTAGAAGGAAACTGTTGATTTGGTTGTTAAATACAATTAAGAAAGGTTCTAAACAATGGTTATAAATAATTTGAGCATTTCCTCAAACTAAATTTCTTATCTTCAGTTGGTAGCAATGTGCTCAGTAATTTAAGAAATGGCAGCAATTGTCTATCATGTTTTCAGAAGTTGGTCTAGAACTGCTGGTTTTTGTTTGCAAGGAGACGAGAAGATTCTCCAGGATGCAATTATTAATAAGCTCTATTATTTTTTCCCCCCTGGAAAAACCATGGTGAAACAGTGGAGACTGGGTTTGTAAGAAATGCTGTACTCATTTCTACATCCTTGATTATGGTCTTCTTTGGCAACTGAAGCTGCCACGTGAATTAGTGGCTCCAGCAGAAGTCAACATTTTCAAGTAAAATTATATGCCATTAACTGATGAAAAGGTCCTCCCTTTCAGTCACTCACAGAAACTTTAAGTTATTTTAAAGATTATTCATGCATACCTGAAGTAGTAGTTGTGGGCTGACTTGTAGAAAATGTAAACGGGGTGGTTGTAAAAATGCCGCATTTAAAGATGTTTCTGCTTATTGTTCCGTTGACATCGCATGTTGCACTGAAACACCATCCAGTTCCATCTGTGGTGTTATAGATGAGTTCACCGTATTTATAGCTATTTCCTTCATAAATGCAGTGGCAGGCTGTAATTCAGAAGAAGTTTATTGTCAGGAATCTATGAAAAAGTAATAGCCAATATTTCATTTTCCTAATAATTTTTCTTAGCTGTCTTACCTTTATCATCGAACTTGCACTGTAAACCTTCTGATGTGCACTCACTGAAATAGAAAGCATAAAAATCCATATATTTTTTGATTCTGATTTACTTTGTTTAGTCATCTTTCTGACAAATACTGGCATCAAAAGGCAAGGCACTTCATTTGTGCTTATTCCTTTAGTGTCCAGTTGGTTTTGGCTTCTTTTTGGTCATTATTTTCCCAAATCTTTCTTTATATCAAACCCAAACTTATATATAGAACTTAAATTTTACACAAAGCTACAGGTAGAAATCTTAAGGAAAACTTTCCTTATTTCCTCCATATCACTTTCCTTGCACTTACTATATTTCTGTACTGAAAAGAAGGCTAAAAAGGGAGAGTCTAAATACTCAAGCGATTTAAGTATGTAATAAAATCCTTGGAAGTAGGTCACTATTAGATATCTTTAGCCCCAGCGCGATGTTTTTCCTGCCACAGGAATGTGAAATAGAGAAAGCCTGGTCATAAAGGACTTCTTGTTCTTGATGTATCTTTATGCTGAGGATTTGCAATATAATCAGGAACAAAATCAATAGAACATAAAATCATATAAAACCTTCTTACTAATGTAGTAAGAAAACCGTCATTAGACAGTGAGGCATTATTTTTACACAGGCAGCAAAGCCTAATCCTGTCTTATAAAAGGAACATGCAATTCCCCACTCTCTTTTGACCGTTTTTCCTTGTATATGATGAGGCTGGTATGTTAAGTCTTACCATATATTACATTCATCTCGTTTATATATCTTTCCATCTTCATCATCATAACAGTCACAGAGACTAACACACTGCATCTGATCCTCATGGAAATATGGCTTGTCTGGTGGGCAGTTAGGATAGCAGCCTGGAGGAAGAAAGGGGGCATGTACAAGATAGAAAAGATAAGAATGAGATACAGTCAGCAGAAGTTTTATTTGTGCAGGATGCATTTGTAGGTCTTGTTTTTAATTGTCACAACATTTTTACTTTTTTTTTTTCCAGTAACTCTAGTAAGTAATGCGGAGTACTAGCATCAGCAGAGCCCATCCTCAAGGACTTAGTCTTAGAGATCTTTTTGACTCCAATTTCCATACTCCGCCTCCGTTCATGTGGATGTAATGATATTGAAGAGAGCTGAATTGTGCAAATGCAGCTAATGGGGGAAATACACTCCATTAAAGACAATTAAAAATATAATAATATGTAACCTCTGAAAGGTACTTGCAGCTCTTTTTACCTTCTAAACCTGGCAGGTCATTGAGGCATTTTCCACTTGGGTTCCTGCAGGTCTTCATACAGGAGGCTCCACAAGGCTTATAGTGCCATTCACATTCTCCTTGTTGATTGTAGTAATCACAAAACAGTGCTAAGGAGAAACAGAAAGTTGGACATGTTCAGAAAAAAAAAGCCCACGCAAATAGTTTAAGTGTGAAAAATCTACACAGTGAGATTCTAACCCACATATGTAAGATACCCAGAGCACGTTTCAAGGACACCAGCAAGACACTGTACATTCAACTACACTTTCAGAAGTGTTTATGACATAAAACTCACGGCAAATTGATGGGCTTCTCCAGGCTATGCATACACCAACTTCACTGCACGCTTGGGCATAGGCAGCTACTGCTGTGCAGAAGCAATCACAGTCTCCTCCAGTGTCGCAGGCACAAGCATCTGTCACACATGCTTGGTAATATTTTGCTGGTTCAACCTGTTATTAAACAGAAATGTAATACTACACATCTTGCCTTCTAAATTCTAGCTTTGCTAGAGTAATTTTCTTACAATTGTAGTATCTGAGAAGAAAGGCCTACACCCGTAATTTCTTTTTCTTTTGTAAGACACTGTTGAATGCTAGAGGTGATGCCAAATGATACATTCAAAACACATACTGGCAGATTTTTTAGACACCCAGACATGGGCCTGGGGGAAGATTATATTAATTTGCCCAAGAAATATTAGGCAATTGCACAGTTATCTGGCAATGTTTGGTGTGTACTCAGTGTCAGATAAAGGCTATGCTGATACTTCATTACTAAGCTATTACTAAGTTGAGCTTGTGTTCTGTACCTGGTATAAGAGAATTTTTATTCAACTCAGGCTATAAGGAAATACACAGTAATTATGAAATTATTATTCTTTTGTAATACATGGATAATTCTTATGAACTTAATGCCTTTATTTCTTACAGGTAGGGACTATAAATCTGTTCCACCACATGGGATTCAGATTGAAGTTTTCCTGACACTATCTGAAGTGAAACATGCTAATAAGTGAGGCATGCATGTTAAAACATATGAGGATAGCACCTTCAGTGACACACAGACTTAGTTTTCACACAATAAACTTCTTCCCTGGTCATACCTGAGAGTGACAGGCAGCAAAGACGTTGCTGTTGATGATGCTACACTGCTTCTCTGACCAGGACTTTCGATAAGGGTTGGTAGAACATGGGTCCTTGATGCTGTTAGCATCAGGACATGTAGAGGATACTTTCCAGCTGTTTCCAAACTCTAGGACATTCTCTACTACAGATTGACTCCTTGTAGTAAAGTCATTGATGTTGTTGCCATCATAATTTCCACAGAGGCCACAGATCTGGCCCTGCAAAAGGAAGTAAATAAAATAATAATGGATGTGAGAAAACTTGAAACAACACCTGAGACTGAAAGAATACTTGAAATTCAGCTCTTGGAATGGTGCCATTCCATTCTGTCGTTCTGAACATCTTCATGCTCTGTTTCCTCAGCAACAGACCATGACCACTAAGGCTGAAAGGATACTGCTCTTGACTTTTCTTCTTTTACATCTGAACAATAAAACCATCTTTGCCATTTTAACCTTCTGCTTTGACAAGGAAATAAGGACTCAGTTAGCTGATTAAGATTTACACTTAAACCTTGTTTTATACAATAGATGTACTTATAAGAAACCAGCTTTATAAAGCTGTCTTAAGTATTACCAGTTCAGCCACATAATCTACTCATTGTGTCTTTACCACTAAGACTGCTTACAGGTATAAAAAGAAATAACATTTTCCTTGCACATCCAGAAATATCCCTCATTCTAAATGTATGGATCTGTACAACTGTGATAGGCTGCAATAGATGCTATGCTTTCTCTATGAATCTAAGGTGCATTCTTTCTGTACAACTACTATTTTTATTACATGCCAGTGTGTGAGGCAGCAAAAGAACCTATGGTATTGAAGCAAGTTGGTATATCTAGATCTAAATTACACTTTATTTATATACCTAATTTAAATGTCACTGTGGTATACAATAAGATAGTAAAATCCTTATTTACTACAGTTTTTAGTACTTATATATCATAAGCCAGGAAAAGAAGTATGACAATGGGAATGCATTTTCTTTATCGCTTGTGTAGTTAGAAGCTTTAAAAATATGTGGTAGCACACAAGAGGCTTTCACTCAAAATACTCGCTCATAATACCCTTCCTTGTTCCTAAAACATGACAATTTGACTTTTGAGTCAATGAAAATAGGAAATAATGGATTACTTTCAAGATGAAGACTACTCAGTTGACTTATACACATGTAGTTATGTAACTTTAACAGTGTCTGATAACCTTTACTGAGGATCAGTGGGTAATTTTAACAAAGTCTGAAATAGCACTTTGCCAACTCAAGTTCTGTCAGGCCAAATAGGCACTAAAAGCTGTCTTCAGAGCTCAGAACAGCAGAAGGACATCATAGATTTCTGAGGTACCAAAGGAATGAAAAACAACATGGGATGTCCTGCAGGAATGCTAAAGACATCACCTGTTCGAGATCTTGGCAGGGTCACAACAAAATTCATACCCAGTCAAATCTGGAATGTATATTGCCATTTAAGTGCTAGTTCCACACCTTAAAATCAGGGCTGAGCTTGATGAAGATGCTGGTTTTCTTGTCCCACATGAGGATCAGTCCGCTCGTGGTCTCAATTACCAGGTACATACCCATATAGCGGATTGTGTAGGGCACCTCATCATTTTGTCCTCTCTTTACTACACTGACATGTTCTTCACCAAGTATCAGTTCATAGCTCTGAAACAGGAGGAAAAGGTAATTAGAAATGAGCTTCGTAGCTGCAGCTGTGCTCTCAAACATGTTTTTCTGCTTTTAAGAGTACTATGAATAGTTTATATAATGACAACAAATCAGCAAAAATATATAGCTCAAAACCATATTGCTCAGCTCCCAGGTTCCTGGAAGTGTGGTAAAAGATATTTTAAATGGCATTGCCAAAAAAAGGGTCTTTTGAACATCATGAAGGAACTACATTGCATAGAATAAAAGAATATTCTGACACAATGGGCTAACTTTCTGCTAAAGACTATTTTTCTGTGGTTTTACCAAGAGTGGTATAAGATAGTGTGGGAAATGGAAAATATAGAAAGCTAGGAAGCTCTACCAAATATTTCACTTGCATCTAACGTAAACCTAACTTAAGAGTTGAATTGCTTTTTAAAATATTTTCCAACTTCCTTGAAGCAGTGGATACCTAGGCTTCTCCTAAACCCTAACAGATGCAGAACAAAACTGGTCTATATGCCCAACCTTCTTACCTCTAAGAAGACTTTGATGGATTTTGAGCAAGTTGTCCCAGTGTTGCCACAAGGAATATTTTCAGTGACAACCCTGAAAGTCCCGTTGGCTGGGCCACTCTTCCCACAATGGTCCTGGGTAGAGAATAACATTTAAAAATATATTATTTTTACAGACACAATCAAGATTACCTCACACTTGTTATTGCTAACTATCAGTACCTGGACTAGTGTGTATTCACAATTTCCATTGAAGCTGAATGTTTTGTCATCAAAGGTGTTATAATGACCATCTCCATAAACAGCACAAGTGCCCAGACATTGATTTTTGGTACATTCCCACTTCCTATTCTTGCATACACTAGAAAAGAGAATAAAATATATGAATAACAGAACAACTCACTGTTTTGAGTAGTCATATCCCAGCAATTGGTGTTTGTTTGGCAACTCATCCTGGTATATGTTATATTGATTCTGGAGTTAAAATAGTCTTTTACGTTTTTCATGTAAGGAATTAAAGCAGAGTTCTGTTCTGCTACTCTGAATGCATTAACTGCAAAGCAACATACTTAATGAACCTTATAGTCCTAAATGTTTCTTCCCATTCTGTGCTTTGGCCATCTGATATAGATCAAAAGGCAACCTGGTCATACTGTGTAATCCAAAACTAAAAGATCCATCAACTGATTAAAGGTGCAATCCAAGTCTTTCATCACTGCTGTACTATTTTAAGGTCTTTAGAAAGACAAATGTGGGAACCAGGACTGTTACTTCCACAGATGTATTTACCAGGTGTTACAGCCAGAGTTGATCTTTTCCCCAGGCTGATACATGACTTCATTGTGAATACAGGGACATTCATCTTCAGGAATACAACCACCATTTCCATCTAACACAAGCCCATTTGGGCAAATGCAGCCAGATGTACATTGTGAGCTATACTGGAAAAGACAAGAGAAAGACAAAATTTCAGAATGAAATAATCACATTAAGAAAAGGAAGATTAAATTCTTGTAAAATGTCTTTATGTGTTCTTTTTGCTGTCCAGGTTAAATGGGAGAAAACTATGAAGTACTTCTAGGACAACGGAACAAAAGGGAAGTTCTCAGCCATTGATTTAATAGAATATAAATCTGTTAAAGATAAATGTTTTATGTATACCAATCCTGATTGTTCTGGTTGAATATGTTAAATTTAAAATGCATTGGATATTGCACTTTGTAGTGGGTGGTTTGTGATTAAATGGACTTTTTAAAAGAAAAATAAGTAAAAATCTTTTTCTGGTTTGTTTGAGTTACACTGAAATCTGTTTATCTGTATGATACTTATTTATGGAATGGCATGTGGCCACCAAGAACCTAGGTGGAGTAATATTATTAGTTGTGCAAGAAGTTCACAAATGCAGCAGGGTACGAGAAAGAATCATTTCTCCTAGCCAGTTTTTAGCCACTAATTTTCTCCTACAGAAGTCAAATGTGTGATAGAGCCCTAGAGTTTTCACTACTAGTTCTTGTTACCTGCAGTAGCTGAAGTAAGGTAGACACTAATCTCAAGATTTAATTTGGATGTTACTTTATTATACTTTGATCTAAGGGTCCCACTGCTGATGCTTCAGAACATAGTGTTAGGCTTTTGCTAAAAGAATAAAGTATCTGTGTTGTAGATGTTGAGTAGAACCAATGGATCAATTACTTAAGCAGTAAGAGCACGGACACAACCTGGAAGCACCATTTCATTCAGCCATGACATACTTACACACTGCATATCCAGAGTCTGGCAACTTTTTTGACACTCTGCTCCACTTTTTCCTGCAGTGTTGTTTCTGCAGTCAAAGTAGACCATGGGAGATTCGCAGACTAGAGGAAGGAAAGAAGTAAGATTAGTAAAGAAATGGCATAGAGTTTATTCCACAGCTGTAGCCGTTAAAACCATCTAGAAATTCTTTGGAAATTCCCTATTTCAGTTAGCAGAGATTGTTGTCCCTGTTCAATCTCTGTTGATTTGATATACTTTAGAGCACTGAATTCTCAGAAAAAAAAAACCCTCAGTATTTCAGAAAAAGAAATCTTTATGTAAAAAGATGTCTTATGATTAATGTAGGCACACTCCTGCCTTTTATGATAACTGTTGCACTTTAACTGAGAAATACTTCTCTTAAAAATCCATTAAGAAGAATCAATTCTATGAACTCTTCTCTGCAAAATCTGACAGAAAAAAAATAAGTGGAAGATTATTTTTACCTGGAGTTGGATTCGGTGCTCCAATGCAATTCAGTCTTCCCTGGACACAAGAGCTGTGAGAGAGGGAAAAACATATTTTTTTGTTCCCCCTCAAACCATATATTGAGATGGAGAGCTACTTATCCCTTGTCAAGTCATTATTTTGAAAGGTATTCCAAAATGCTGTTTTGCAGTCTCAGGAAAAATTTCCCTCAATAACACGACATGTGCTGCTTTCATATGATATCCATTATTGCTTAACAGGAAAATTCATAGGTTGTGATGAGTATATGTCTCTGCTTGTTACTTACATTCTCGTAAGATCTCTCCTTGCTGGTATTGTCATAAATTTATACTTGAAAAATCATGGAATTAAATAAAAAATGTACATAAATATAATTGCTCTATCAGTCTAGAAATATCATAGAATCATAGAAACATAGATTGGAAAAGACCTTTAAGATCATTGAGTCCAACCAGCACTGCCAAGTCCACCATAAAGCATGTCCCTAAGTGCCTCATCTGCATTTTTTTTAAATACCTCCAGGGATGGTGACTCAACCACTTTCCTGGGCAGCCTATTCCAGTGCTTTACAACTCTTTCAGTGCAGAAATGTTTAAGATCCAATCTCAAGCTTCCCCAGTGTAACTTGAGACCATTTCCTCACATCCCCTATCACTTGTTACTTGGGAGAAGAGGCAGACCCCCACCTTGCTACAACCTCTTTTCAGACAGCTGTGCAGCGTGATAAGGTGCCCCAAGTCTCCTTGTCTCCAGGCTAAACTTTCCAGCTCCCTCAGCTGTGCCTCATAAAACTTGTGCTCCAGACCCTTCACCAGGTCTGTTGCCCTCTCTGGGCTTACTCCAGCACCTCAATGTCTTTCTTGCAGTGAGGGGTCCAAAACTGAACACAGGATTTTTGGTGCACTCTCACCAATGCTCAGTACAGATGGACAGTCACTGCCCTAGTATCAAAGTACAGGTAAGGCAACATCCACAACCTTTCCCTCATCCACTAAGTGGGTCATCTGGTCATAGATGGAGATCAGGTTGGGCAAACAGCACACACCTTCCCTAAACCTATGTTGGGGCCTGATCCCCAGGTTGTCCCATATGTATCACATGATGGCATCCATGGTGATCTGTTCCATAATCTTCCTTAGCACCAAGGTCAGGCTGACAGGCCTGTAGTTCACCAGATCCTCCATCTGGCCTCCAATGTAGGTGGGCATCACATTTGCCAACCTCCAGTGAACTGGGACCTCAGTGGTTAGCCAGGACTGCTGACAAATGATTGCAAGTGGCTCAGTGAGCACTTCCACCAGCTCCCTCCATTACCCTTGGGTGGACCCCACAGGCATAGGCTTGTGTGTTTTTAAGTGATGTAACAGGTCACTGACAATTTCACTTTTCATTGTAGTGGCCTTCATTCTGCTTCTGTCCCTATCTTGCAGCTCAGGGGAATACGCACCATACATAAAAGTTGAAAACGAAAGAACTTAAAGCTGAAGAAGTTCAAGAGAAGAGCACTGCATTGAAATTCAGGAGACAGGATGAAACCATCTTAAATGTAACAGATTTAAATGAGAAACTAGGTATGCTATTGCTTGAATGTTTTTCAAATGATTCACTTACCATACTTGCCCATTTTCATGGACAACTTCTCCAAATGGTATGGGGGATCCTCTGTAGTAGCAGGGGCATTCATTAGCAGGCACACATTTGCCACTCTCATCCATGTAGGTTCCGTTTACGCAGGTGCAGCCGTCAACTGGGACAAACTTAATGTTGCATGTGACATCAGGCTCACTCAGAGACCGACAAGTGGGTGGACAGGAAGAGATGGTATAGCTGTAGTTTAGGGATTTGGGACATGAGGTGGTGTATTTTGCTTGAGAGAGGAAAATAAAATAGATTGTTAATTCTAGATGGTAAATTCTCATGGGAAAGAAAAACAACATAGGCAGTAGAAATAACATGTAAACAGTACTGTGCATATCTGCTTATGTTGCATCTTTCATGTAAATGTATTTCTGAATACTTCCAGAGTTAGATCTGAAAAGCTACTGTACATGTAGAGTAAGTGATGCCTGCAAAGAAGAAAATAATTTTTCAAATGAAAGTTCAGGAAGTTCAGAAACCTCCATTTGATGTTGCCATTCATTGCCGAGACTCCTAAACTCCTTGAAGTATGAGACAAGATATCTCCCTGAATGTCTTCTGGTGTGCTGAAAACAGACATGCTGGATGAGCAGAACTCTGAATGCAGCTTCAAAGACCTCTCATTTGCAAGTGGTATTATTAGTACTGTTATTCTAATATGTCACATTTTCTCTACAATAGCTTGTGGCAAAGTTGTAGTGAAACTCAAAGTTCAGAAACAGGTGGAGGCACTTTCATAACAGCAGTCCCTTTCCCAATCAAGCTATGTCTCCCATCTATTCATATTCACTCTTGCTAGCAATGGATTGATTCTAAGGGGACAGCAGAGAATTATTTCCAGCAGTGCACTTAAGAAAATTCCTTCCTCAACAGTTACTAATTTGTCTAGAAATGAGTAGAAAATAATCTCTGATCAGCAGTTTTTATTGATGTGTGTTCCTAGGAAATGGGGTAGTTAAGAGTACTTACTGCAGACATCAGTCCTCCATCCCTGCAGCTGGATTCCTTTTGCAGCACAAGCTCTCACATAGGAAGACAAGGCTGCACACAGACAGTCCTCACTGTTTTCACAGTTGCATGTGTCAAACATGCAGTTCTAAGAATGGAGAGAAAAATAAAGTCTCAGCAATGGTAATATGGTCAATCTAAAAAGACAATGAACATTATTTTTCTAGTCTTATTCCCTAATCCTTCTTCAGATATGCTTATTCATAGACCCCAGTAACAGCTTTTCTCACTGTCTAGTCTTTGTCTAAGTTTCCTGGCAGGGGAGAATGCAGTTAATGAAAATTCATTGGATGTCTGCAGCTATCACTAGGAAATAGTGGTCTTCAAGTCTGGTATACATTTAACAGCTTCATGGTCCTCTGAAACACATTAATGGATGTGCTGCACAATAGCATACAAAGCTCTATTCACAGCACGCAGTTCAGACACATCCTTTCGCTGGTGTCTGTACCTGCATGACTACTAATGGGAAGAGAGATTTGCAACACATTGATAGCAGAATGATGATTATTAGGTAATGGGCATTCTGTGCCAAGTGGCTATTAATGAGGTACCAGGCTGATGAGATGACAGTTCACTGATACTCAAACAAGCATTTGACATGCGTTTACATACCCTTTCTGCTATATGTGTAAAACCTTCCAGGAGTAAATAACTGCCTTTTCATTTGCAAACAAGTCAGGATCTCGAAGCCGAGATTGACAGTTGAAATAAGGTAATGTTACAACACAAACAGAAACACATGTTGAAAGAAGGAAGTGCTGCAGTACAGAAATTAAGATATAGGCATTGCATAAGACACATCTGGAACAGTCCTTTTCTGGTAGCTAGTTGTAATGATTCCATTTCTATTGTTTCTAAAGGGAAAAACAGTCTAACAAAGTACCGTGTGGTAAACAGCTGGATTCACTGCATAGTGGCAATCAGCAAAAGGTCCTTTGCTGTCAGTCAGCAGTCCACACCAATGCTGAGCATATTTTTCTGTGAAAAGAAGAAACAATACAAATACTCTTTGTATTTCATTAGTCACAAAACCACAGCGCCCTGGTCTATGAAGCCAGTTCTGACACTTCATTAAATCTCTCCTTCTCCGTCTCTTCTTTTTCCTTTTCACTCAGCTTGTGGTCTAAGGTTCCTAATACCAAAGATGAGGACTTGCTGAAGGGATTGAATAAACAGTTTGACCTTACAGTTTCCTTCAGCTGTGTTTCTATGACTCTTTCTTTATTTTGTTACTTATCTTCAGTGCTTTCATTTTTGAATATTTGTTTCTGAATTCAGGTGTATGCTTTTACCAAATATGTAAATCTTTATTTTTTATCTTTGCTTTCCGACAGATGTGTTTTCCTTAGGGATGAGAAAAAAGAAGAAAGAAAGCAAAGTAGAAAGAATTCTAAGAAGCACGCACCATTATCAATGCTGAGTGCACAAGGGTTCTCAAAACTCTGCTGGATATTAGGGCATGAAGCCTGAGTTTTCCACGTATTAGCAAATGCTGATGCTGTTCCTTCAACTATTCCACTTATGACCTTGAAGTCATCAGTCTGGATATTATTGAAGTTTCCACAGAGACCTGTTGAAAAGCAGTGAAAAGTTTATACTGCTCATACTACACAAAAGGCATTAATCAAGATGTTCTTATATTTCACTTACTTACCACAAGTCTGTTCTTTGAAAATAGGATCCAGTCGCACAAACACTTGCATCATGGGTATGAACTGGATTTCAAGGTGGACCCCAAAGTTTGTCTGCATGATCATGAAGAATGATGAAGGTCTGAACATGGTGACATTAGCTGCATGTGAAAAACAAAATGATCACTCTCAGGGTGAGGTCAGATGCTGAAAACATGATACTGTTCTTCTTGAATTTCTGTCACAATTGTTGCAAATTCTGAAGTGAAATAAAGCCAATCTTTATGAAAATTAATCAGAAATATAAATTGAAATTTATGGTTCAAAATCTGCTTGCAGCTATCAAGCTTTATTTGCTGACAGAACATAAGCAGTTAGAGATTACTACTTCAAAGAGAATAAGTAGGAAAAACTGTATGGCACTGAGAGTTAAAAAGAATATTTCTATTTTTGTTTCTAAGCTTGTACAGAATACATGGGAACCCTCAATCTGCTGGAGGGGGAAAATAAGGAGATCTGGAGGTCAAAGATATCTCATAGAATCATTAGTTACTGAAATAGAGCAAAATTCAAATTTCTTTCTAAGCAAGTGTGAGCACAGCAGTAGTAGCTAAAAAAAAGAGGTAAGAGAGGTAAAAAGATGTCTTCTGCATTCAATTTTGTGTGGAAAATTGAGAGAAGGAGAAGGAAATAGACCTGACAGTGATCAAATCAGGATATTGTAAGTACTCTTTACTACTATTCAAACTCTTGCCTATGCTTGCACTTTATGACACCAAACATTTTTCTTTATTTCAAAAGCACTTGTATCGTTCACTGTTAGGGAAAAAAAATATACCTGCTGACATGGGCAGCTGGGTGTAGATTGAGTTCACAAACACACTACCATCAGGTCTGACCTCGACAACCTATTAAGGAAGAGGAACAAAAGGCAACTGTGTGAATCAGAATGGTTTGGTTTGGGAAGGACCTTTAAAAGTCTTCTAGTTCTAACCTCCCTGCTATGGGCAGGGACAGCTACTATTGGGCCAGGTTGCTCAAAGCCCCATCCAACCTGGTCTTGAATACTTCCAGGGATGGGACATCCACAACTTTTCTGGGAAACCTGTTCCAGTTTTTCACCACCCCAGTGAGGAATTTCTTCCTTACATCTCATCTAAACCTGCCCTCTTTCAGTTTGAAGCCACTCCCAAAAAATCAAAAAGTCATTGTTCTATCAGTTTGTGCCCTTGTAAGAAGTCTCTCTCCAGCTTTCTTGTAGGCCCCCCTTTAGGGATGGGAAGGTGCTCTAAGGTCTCCCCAGAGCCTTCTCCTCCAGGCTGAACAACTCCAGCTCTCTCAGCCTGTCCTCACAGGAGATGGACTCCAGCCCTCTGATTGTTTTTGTGGCCCTCCTCTGGACTCGTTGCAAAAGTTTCATGTTCTCCTTAGGCTGGGGAGCCCCAGGGCTGGATGCAGCACCCCAGATGGGGTCTCCTCCAAGTGGAGTCAAGGGGCAGATCACCTTCCTTGACCTGCTGGCCACACTGCTTTTAATGCAGCCCAGGCTGGCTTTCTGGGCTGTCAACCATGCATGAAGAATAACTATAATCCAAAGAGTAACAATGGTGATATTAATTAAACAGATATTCAGTAAAAAGGTGATTTCACCTCCTCCATATTTCTACCTTGTACACTTTACTAATTTTCCTTGCTGTAAAAGAATTACTTTTAAAGTGAATTTCTCAGTTTTTTAGGGGATTGCATCATCTTGTTTTCTTTGAACACATCTTAGTGATGAATTACATCCCTTACTGTTGTAATTGTGGTTACTAACCTTAAAACTCTGGAGTTTTTTTCATCTAATTAGGAGAGAAAATAGCCTTTTTCTGCTATGTGAGTACAATGTGTTTCTTAATGACATTCCACAAAGCCAAATTTATGGCTGATCTGATTTTCATAACAAAATCAGTTTCTTTTCACTTGATTAAAATTAACATGCACTGATAAAATTAACGATGCACTCATCGTATACATTGAACATTTGACAAAGAAATGCAGCTCCCTGACTGATTTTTTTTTCTCGGATTTACTTTTCTCTCCACATTTTTAATATGCTTATTTTGCATGCTTACAGTTTGTCCGTTATTCATGTTGAGGGTCACTGTCTTTAAGCACGTCTCAGTGTCTGTTAGGCCACATTTGCGTAGGTCTACCAGGATGGTGAATGTTTCATCTTTACAGTCCTGAAAAATAATGCCAGCAGTTATTTCATGGAAGTCTAACTACAGAAGCTTTCCCTATAAAATCTTCTCTCAACTCTGAGAAAATATTTCTATTTCTGAAGAAGATACACACTCTCACAAATCCCTGACCTTCTTTGGCTGAAGATTCAATTTTGCCTTCTTGTAATGATCAGGAACAAGAAAACTGGAATCTGTATTTAATTGATTATATCCATATGGGTATCAAGATGGTTATCCATATTCATATTTGGTGTTTTTATTCATGCCAACATCTAATGTTTGATTCAATTCTACTGTAACTCTCATCTTTCTCTAGCCACTATCTGTACTAGACAAAAATTTCAGATAAAACATTCCTCAGGTGAACAGTAACAGACAACATTTTATTTCATTTTACTGAATTGTGTAGGTGACGAAAAAGGAAAGCAAAACACAACTGGAAAAAGCCCTCTAAAAGATCAAAACATTTCACTTACACATGTCTGTAATTAAATATTTTACTTATCATTAAATTCTAATCTTTCTATTTCCTTTAAAAATGTTCAAAACCAAAGTGAAATATATCAGATGACTTGAACTAATTTTCTGTATTTGAATTTCACTGAAATGAAACAAATTTTGGTTTAAAATCTTTTAATTTTTTTTTAAGTTGCAGAAGTGTTGATTGAGATGTCTTTTGATTGAGATTTCTTTCTATAAATGTATAAGGCTTTGTGACCTAGTAATGCCTGAGCCCCACCTTAGAAAGGACGTAGGTGCAGTCTCCATGGTGATCATAACGTTTCTTATCGTATGTGGAAATGTGTGAACCTCCCTCTACTGAACATGTTCCTGGGCATGACATGTCTTGGCAGCTCCACTGGCCTCCATTGCAGGTACTGGAAGAATAAAGTTAGCTGAAATCAGTAACGGTGGTCCAGAGTAACAGTGATGTTAGGCTCAGCTGGTTTGTTATTGCTTTCCCCTTCAGGCTGTAGTTTGAGACATAGTGAATCTAGATTTAGGACTTTCCAAAACATTGTGAACTTGTGATTGAATGACTCTGGTAACCATTCACTTTGCTTATTTAATTGTTTTCTGTCTTTGGACAGTTGAACTCTCCAAAACAGGTATTGGATAAATAATTGTTTGGGTTTTTTCAGCTAACATAAAGCACAATGACAAAATATCTTTTGTGGGTTTTCTGGTTTTGTTTTCTTTTTTTTTTTTTTTTTAAATATAATTATATAATAAATTAATAAATAAGGAAATGTGATTTCACACTTACTCCTGATGCAGGTTGTGTCTGTCTTCTAAGGTGATTGTGATAGTGCACAGGTACAGGATTAATAATTGTGAAATGGAGGTTATATTATGTCATCCCTTGCTTTCTCCAGAGAAAATAAATATTTGCAAATACATTAACGACTGCAACTTCATTCCTCTTAAAGAACTCCAAATGTTTGAACAAAATAAACAAAGAGGAAGCATTTTAATTGACTGATGTGAAATGTAAACATTGTAAATCCTTGCTTTGATCACCATGAGTTAGAGTGCAAAGCAAGTTACGGCTGTTGCTAAATAAAACAAATAATGTTCTTTAGGGGTATTTTGGAACTGCAGCAGTCAGTTAAATACACATGTCAATTACAAATGATGCAATGGCGTATAATAAACCATTAAACTCATTAAATTTATGAGAGGAAATAGTGAGTTAGAAAAGCAACAAAGGTTACCAGGTCTGGCACGGCTCTGAAAAAGAAGTTCCTGTAGCGTAGGTGTTGCCATTGTAAATACAGGAGCACTGCTGCTGGGGAATGCAGCCAGAATTGTTGATGTCATCAAATACAGTCCCTAGATTAAAAAAAGAAAAAAAGATAAAACCTTGATGAATTAAAGAGGCATTTCCTATATACCATTTTGTTTTTTAGAAATTCTAAATATCATCTTAGAGGCAGATCTTTAGCTGTTGTGAATGGACACACCAATGCTGACTCTGTCAGTTTGCTCAGTGAAGGATTCAACCTTTGTATTCTTAAATTCCACCTGCTCTGAAAGAGGGACTTATTGTAGCACAGGTGGCTGCTTGAAAGACTGGTCTTGATCTGTTTGCTGTTCTTTTTTCCTGCTTTCTAAATATTGCACATGTGTTGGCAATTAATTCAGATATCTTTTCTCAGCTGAGACATGACAAATGCTTTTCACTTGCAGCTGTGAAAAATGCAAATACACGAGACTTAAAGCCCACATGGAACCTGCCCAAATCCTACAGGTAAGCTATTGTTCTTTGAGATCAGAGATGTGAGTACTTTAGAACTTGCCTGGGGGACAGAAGCAGCCATCAATACAATGTTCTTCACAAAACTGAGATCGTTCAGGATTCGAGCATGTATCAGCACAGGGGGAGTTGCACTCCTCGTACTGCATGTTGAAAGGACACTTCTTGGCTGAAATTTAAAAGGAAGAAAGATTGATTTTTTTTTTCAGTCAAAAGTATTTCTAGTTACTATACATGTAAATATATAGATCTATTTAAGTTTTCCAGCTAGATTAAAAAAGTGCACCAAACAGTAGATTGACTACCAGCTCTCAAAATTTGCAAATTTAATCACCTACATCCGTATTTTACTGTTGAGATGTGCATTCCATGACTACTGTAGAACTGGCTCAGTGACTGGATTTCTAGGGACAGCAAGGTAACGACCCCAAAAATTCAGCAAGGTCTGTCTTTCTACTGAAGGCTCCCTTCCCATGAACACCTGTATTGCTAGCGAAATGTAAGACTTAAATTCCTAAAGCTTTAGCGTATTTGCATTTTCTGATACCATCAGAAGGCCAATTAGTAGTACCTCATGGGCTTTTGTTTTGGAGAAAATACTGGTGACAGTATCAACAGCTACCCTGCCATAAGCAAGTGTGTGTCTAAATCAGTGCAAACAAGGGGAGATAAACAAGTGCTCAGCTAGCCAAACACCTGTGAAGACCCAATCAGTTAATAACTGAGAACAAGAAATGCTCTAGCCACCAAAAAGCAGAGAAACAGGAATACAAGCAAGCAAGCAAGCTAGCTTGCATCATTTTTTCTTCTTGTTTCTCTTTTATTTGCTTCATTTACTGTCCCACTTAATTAAATTACACTTTGACTCTCACTAGTATCCATGTCAGTGTTTGTAGTGTTTAATCCAGTGTGCATTAAAATCCTTAGCTTTTTTTTAAGTCTTCATGCTGGAACTTTTACATCAGAATGCCCTGAAGAACACAATCTTAAATAGCCTGTAACTTCTCAGGCACCCTCAGCATCATTTCAGAGCTTGTTGTTTGTTATTTCCTGAGCATAAAGTAAGGCTGTCTGCAGTGATACTTACTGCACAGGTTTGAGGTTCTCCAGTTCAGGGGATGCCCACCAGCATGAGCACACTGCCGGGAGTATTCAGCAAAGGTGTCGCAGATACATGAGGAGTTTTTAGATTCTTCAGAGCGGCACAAGTCATCTTGGCAAGCTGTAATGTACTCTCTAACATCGACAAGGTCATTACATTCTGCAAATGCAGAGCTGGTCAGTGTTTTCTGGCATATGTCATCCTTTGGAGAAAAAAAAAGTAAATAACTTCCAGTAAGTAGAAAGAAGCTTTTTTTTTTTTTTCCTTGTGTAATTATTATTTAATAGAGTTTTATAGCCCTCTTTAAGTTAGTTTCGCCTCAGGGCTTTTCCTGTTGACCTCTCTGAAGCTGTAGAAGTTAACAGATAAATTTGAAAGAAAAATAAAAGGATAGTAAAAAAATCCTTACAAGATTTTCAGTGCAGTTATATGGCAGGGTAGAGGTGGGGTCTTCACAGTGTTCTGTTGGCCCATCCATTTTCTGCATATTTCCAAATTGCAAGGCAGACATCCTAATATCTGTAGAAAATAAGTTTAATAATGAAGGTTGGGGGGTGTTTGTTCAGTGCAGCTGCCTGCTATTTTTTTCTTCTCTCAAGAATTTGGCTCAAGACTGACCAAGGCAGTTGGTTCCCTTAAGTCTTTTAGTGTGATCATCACCCCTTACAAAGGAAGCACTGACTCAGTTTACCTTGCACAGCACCCTAGAAAAAGTAAACATTAGAAAACAGTTCTCAGCCTACTATGTCTAGATGCACACCAAGATTTTTACTAGAAAAATAAACTCTTCCCAGATTATATTGAGCCCATGTAGGGAAGAGAAAAAAAAAAATCTAAATAGGGATTTGAAAAACAGAGACTGCTGTAAGACAAGGTTTAGGAAAATGCTCAAATTGGGGACTGTTTAAAAAGATAAAGATGAGGTCTTACAAAGATTGTGCAATTCAGCTGGGAAATGTGGATATACCAATTTTAAGACAACTGAAACAAGAAATGTACTGTTTACAAAATTCAATTGCCATTTGTTTTACTGAATATATTTCTATATTATTTATCTTATTAGTGAAAATCTGGATAATTTTAATGGAGTTAGCTAATTAGATATAGCAAAATGATGTACAACAATGGCATGCAGGAAATATGGAATCAGTTGTTAGCACCAGTACTATATTTACACTTTAAGTATTAAATCACATTATCTGATCTCTGTACTACATGTTTTTAAACAGAGATTAAATCATATGTTCTGAGTAAACAATTTAACAGGATAGGAAAGAGGAATGCTGATGATGTCAGAGATTAAAGAATACCAAAAAAGGGATGTTGGAGACCCTGCCAGCCAATTTTTTTTATTTAAAACACTTACTGTTTGAAAAGAATTCATTGTAAATTGGAAAGCCATTGAAGTCCCCACAAAGTCCACAAGTCTGATTGGCATATTTCTCATTCAGTTCCAGCTAAAATGAAGGATAGTAAGTTGATGGAAGTTAATATAAACATTCTAAAATACGTTCAAGACCGCAGAAAAGACTTGCACCTGCTGCCTCTAAGTATTTTTTGTCAGATCTGTGGTATTTTATTTAGCAATTTAATTCAAACCTGGAGGATAGAATAAAGAGCTGGCCTGGATTTGATCTACAAGGCAGAGTAGCTATTGATGCTACTGATGCTACTGACACAGACTTAAGTTTTCACTGCAGTATCTATACTGCTCTCAGCTTCTTTCTATTAATTCTTCATGAAGAAAATCAAATCCACAGCAAAAATGAAGTCCTAGGAAAGTGAAATTCTGCTAGAAATATATATATTTGAAGGGGTAATTAGGCCATATAATAATACCAATAAGTAATTATATAATGAAAGTGATTTTTCATCCTATTTTACTCAGACACCTGCTATCCACTAGGTATAAATCCACGTAATTTTCTTTAGGACTACCTGGATGCAAGCCTATCTTTACTAGGAAAGAACTGCTCAACAGTATGAGATAAGAAGGCAGTAATAACTCCCTAAAGAGATAGGGACTGGCCTAATCAAAGATTAGCTCTACTCTCTGAAGGTGTAGAGAGGTCCAGGAACAGTTCTTACCAGGATGCTGTCATCTTCATTCCATAATAACACAACACCAATTTTGCTGGCAACTTTCACGTAAATGCTGCTTTTCTCTATCGTAATGCCAGATTGACTATATGGCAGTTGAACTCTGGGAAAAGGCAGAAAAAAAGCTAGTTAATATCTGATCCAGATGTTTGATAAGCTTGTTGTATCCAGCATCTGTAGGGATTCTTTTTTTTTTAAGAAAAGCAATTAAAAAATAAGATGGTCCAACATTATCAAATATAGATCTAAATTTGGATCCAACTTCTCAGGATTTTTCATCCAAATTTTATTTTTCAGGTAATATTTCAAGGAAAGATTGATTTTCTGTGATAGGAATTAATAGCATTTTATTTGTTAATTATGTTGGTAAAATTGTCAGATTTATTGAAGAACACATAAATGTTTCTCCTCAAATACACCAAAGTACTTGGCAAGTTTGAAAAAACTTACCAAAACTTGGTAAGTTATGAATAAGCTTACCTATTGCCGTTGATCGTGATAGCACCCTTTGTTAGTTCAGCAACTACACCTTCAAGCTTCATGGTGATACGGTTGATTGTTGGAGCATTTGCCACCACTTCACGCCTAATCTGGATGTTGAAGTCCTCATAGGGAGCGTTGCAATGGGAGGCAAAAACATAATTACAGAGCCCAGGGAAGGAGAATATGTCTCCATCAAAGGTCTTGAAGTGGAAGTTGCCCCAGGTGCTGCATACACGGCCATTGTGAGCAGGATTTGAGGCTGTGAATTAAAACTACATGTTAAAGAATGACTTAAAATTCCCAGCATGGTGAAAATCAACTTCTCCAAGGCTTCATTGGTATATTGAACAGTTTTTGCCTGCCTACCTCCATTTGTTATTTTCTATCTCTCCATTATAATACTTTGTATTCCTTCATCACTCATCTTACATCTGTCACTCATATACCCCATAAATGGTTATAGATATGTTCATCTAGATCTTAATTAGTTATCCACATTTCAGCTGAGACAACAGTTTAGTATTATGTTTCTTAATCACCCTGTTTCTCCTCTTAACTTTCAATGACTTGCTTTACCAGTCTTTCCCCCTTTGTATTAGATTCCTCTGTCTACATCCCCCAAAACTGAACACTTACTGAATACATTAATTTCCTTTACTTACGTGTTATTATTAGATTTGTCAGCATTGATGGGATGATGTTCAACTTTGCTGAAACTGAGAGAGAAGCTAGGGAAAAAAGAAAGAAAGAAAACAAAAACTAGTACAATACCAAAATTTGCACCTAGGACAGACCTAGAAAGGACTAGACAGTTAATATATTAGATCCAATGAAACAATGTTTTATGCCTGTTTTATTTTCCACAGGCCATGGGCCAGGTTGAAAGTGCATACTAAAATTCAAACTCAGAATAGTTAAATCATAGGATATTGCTTTCAACTGTGATGATCTGCATTTTCTACATTTTAATTTTGACCCTTATATGAAACCCAGTGTTGCATTAGGAAGGCAGAAATTCACAGCTCTGCGTATTGGAGTGCTTCAGACACACTGAACAATACAAAGGGCTAAGCTGTACAAAATTAGCCTCTTACTGGTACAAAAGCGTAGCTGCCTCCTTATTACACCTCCTCTTTCTAAGGAGGGAACAAAAACCTCAATTATCACATTTGCTCTCTGTTTTATATTTTTCTGTTGGGGACCAGAAATTGGTTGTACAGGATGGTCACGAATCATTACATGGTGAAAATCAATGATGATAGACTGACATTTTGATTTTCCAACATCAGCCACTGACTTTACAGCAGACTAAAGTGGTCTCATTTCCTTCTTTATAAGAAACCAAACATCCTGCACATATATTCCACTTTGATTTTTATATATACATGTTCATGCACATATGCATACAGCCTCTACAAACACACATCTGTTTTCTTAGTTAACTATGATTATACAAATATAACCATACTCTGTGTTGTGCAGTAGTTGGTGTCTAATAAATCTATTACTATTCTTAGAGAGAGAGAGACAGGCTTGTTAATACACATTTCTCTTTATTTGACACTACTGGCAATATGCTAAGGAGTTTTTTTTAGGCATTTTTAGTATTTAGTATAGATGTAGTAAATAAGTACAAATATGCAGTATAAATAAACGTACCATTTTGTTTTTGTAGAAGACCCCCAGAGAATTTGCCTCCTATTTGGATTCCAATTTGACCTCCTGTGAAAAAATGGTAAAAAGCATATTAAGAATAATGTCCTGTATCTGAACTTCTAAAGCACTTAGATAGTACCAAAGGCCTCAAATACATCTCTGTAAAATGAAGAGGAGAGTCAATTATTATATCAGAAAAAATGAAAGAGGCTCAAAGATGGTTCAAACTCACATGTTCTCTGCAGAAAACCTTACAGCATCATGCTGTAAGTCTATTTGACCAAGAGTTCTTGCTACTCCACCTGAAGCAAAGACTTTTGAGAAATGACAAACTCTGACCAGAATGCTTTGAAGTCTAGAAAAAGACTGACTCTGATCTCCTTGGTTGGTGCTCTGAGCTCTTGTATTTTGTGAGTAAATATGGCAGGCATTTCCTGTAAAAGTTGAAGGGCTACAACTTTATTTTGTGAAGGACTGAATACAGTCAGCATGCGATAACTGTGCTTGGAACATATTGACTAACATGCACCTACAACCTGCCAAGTCTAAATCCTCACAGGATTTAAGTGATGAAATGACTAAATCTGAATCCTTATCTGGATTATGTGAATGAGCACTGTAGGCTTCTAGACAATTTCTCAGTCAAAGCAGAACTGTCTATGTAATTTAGTCCTAAATTAAGCCTCTTTTCTCCTTACACAACGGGTGAGAAGAGTTGCCTGACTAAGAACTGAATCCATAAGAACCATATCACTGAACTGGAAGCCAAATTGGTGGAAGAGGGGGAAGTGCCATAAATCCCAGTTCCCTTTGGTGTTTATGTTCCTTGCTGAGCATTTTCTTCCCTGAAGAACCTCAGCCCACATACCTCCATGAAAGCTGAACAATTATCTTTGCCTTTAAAAGAACTGGATCAGGAACACCTTTTTTTAAAAAAAGTTATTTTTCTAATATAACTTTGCCAACAACGTGAGCAGATTTAGCGTTTGATCCCAGAGCTGAAGAAGAATGCCTGCTTGAAGGAATTTAAGTCCCCACTCCAAAAGAGAACTCCAAGAGACTTCTGGCTTTGGAAGAGAGGGTTCTGGGCAGCCTCACCATAGCTTGAAGTTGCTGCAGTGTCTGCAGTTTCTTTCAGCTCTAGGCTTTTAATTCTTTTCTCTTTATGTGTGACCCTAGGGATGTACAGAGAAGTAACGCAGAACAGAGCTTAACCTTTTTCCATTTCTTCTCGTTTTTGTGAATAATAGATAATAACAGTAAATAAAGGCATTCATAGCATTATGATTGATGCTCATCAGGTGAGAGAAATACCTCTTTAAGTCTCAATAATAGGACAAAGTTTGCTCTCACACAACACATCTGTAGGAATCTCAGAAGGCATAGAATCATAGAAGGTTTGTTTATTCTAGCGTGGGAACCTTTGTAACAGAACAAAACACTATATACATGTATTTTGGTCTGTTAATTTTTCTCAAGGAAAGGCTTCTGTTTACTCAGCAAATACATAATTCCCAAGGAAATTCTAGCTGCATTGGTTTATTCAGCAATTACACAATGCCACATTATAAAAATAAGTATCTCTCTGTTGTAAGAATAGTTAAGATAATTTACTATTTGATAATCTGCAAACTAACGTAATTATTAAGAATATTTGGATGCATCTTGCTAACCCTATATTGAGCTACCAATCCACATATGCAATTATTTTTATGATCAATTTATAGAAGTTAATATAAAGGCAGGCACAAAATGTTTGAGGAGATGGCATGGGATAGGACCAGTATTCTTTAGTCAGGACACTGGACAGTATTTTCAACAGGTGTGACTCAAATAAAGAGGTGTTTGCTGGGCACTGTCTAGCCATCACTCATTTTTCAAAGCAGCTTAGCAGATTAGCACTGCATGGGAGTGCAGTGCTAAGGAGAAATAACTTTCTTGCTCAATGAATGGCTGAAGATGCTTTTGACTGACATTGCATAACTCTAAACATAAGTTTATATTCTACGTGACTGTTGTATTTTCAAGTAAAATACAAATCAACTTACCAGTAATTAAGTGTTTATTGAACAAACTATAAAGCAGCCTAAAATTGTACTTGCACTTCTCAATGTTTTGGAAATTATATGCAAGATAAATTTACATAGGCACTCTGCAGACTTAAAAATGTTAGCTGACAGGGCAGAAATTACATGAATGGGACTAACTTCTTATAAAGCTTGTAGTCATGCAAGTACTTTCAATTTGAGTGATTCTATTGACTTAACAGGATTACTCATGTTAGTGAAAACTGCCAAGACCAGTCTTGATGGATATAATATTAACAAGAGGAAAAAACCCATACGAAATGATGGATTGTATGTGTCAGATAAATTTCCCCGTCCTGCTCATACTCAATATCTGTAATTTATATATAAATATAAAGGCACAGTTAGTTACTAAAAATCCTTACCATATGAATATTTACTCCTAGTCTCTTTTGCAAAAGAAGTTGCAAGAAACCTTGAGGAATCTCATATTAGCCCCGGGTAGTTGATAAAATATGGGAAAAGATTGACCAGTGGTCTGATCTAGCAACTGGAAAATGCAGTGTTTTAGGTTTAAAAAAACCCATAACATTAATAATGAATCCTAATACAAAATGCAACAGGAATAAAATGCTTTTGTAAGGCATAAGCGATACTGAAAACCTGACATTTTAAGACATGAATAATGGTTCTTTTGGATTTGATCTTCAAGGCTACTTTCCAAACGTAGTTATATACAGAATTTCGAGGCAATATTAAATTAACTCAGTCCAGTTAATAGACACACATTAAATGTCCTATTAAAATATATAAAGAAATCCTATTTAAATGCCACCATCTCTTAAATGAATCAATGTGCATAGTTGTTTAAAATATATTACTAGATCTAAACAGAGCATTTTTTTTTTTTTCCCAATAAAAAAGGTGACTTCTTACCTATCTGATGGACAAAGCACATTGCTAATAGGAAAGCCCATTCTGGTAGCCTTATCCCCCTGCCAAACCCCATCTTGAGTGGAGTTTGGCACAAGGATGTTGGGTCTAAAGTTGATCAGGACCAGTAGTTCACCTGGTGCTTTGTCACTCTTATATAGTAGGTGACTTTGGCTTCAGTCCCAAATTGATTCAGAGAGTGTAGAAAGGTGGGGTTTGGGGGATTTTAGCAAATGAACAGGTAAACAGAGGATGCTCTTCCTTCCTCAGAAACTGGCCAATGGTATTTGCATTTTGGGAGGAGTAAATACATTTACGTGCGTATTCTTTGTTAAGGTTCATTCTAATAAAGAAATATAACATGATTGCAAATAAAACACAACTCCTCCTCCACACATGGCAGGTCCTGGAACAAATTTAATTTGGTGTTGCTTTACAGTTACGCAGATGGCATGCAAGTAACTGTTCTAAGTTTTTCAGCACTATAATTGATGCCAGGGATCACTGGCAAAACCCCACTGATTTCTGAAGTCTTAGGAGGTGTGGAGTATTTCATATGTGGGGACCCAGCATTAAGAAGTCGCTGTGTGCTTATTGGGGCAGCTAATCTTGTAAAAAGAACAGAATAATAACCCTGAAGGGTCCTGCACTCTCACATAGTCACTCAGTGTATGCTATGAAATTCCTTTGAGTGGCACTGACAGGCATTGGACATCCATCTCATTAAGACTGAGCCAACTTCACCTGTGCTGTAACCTACATTTGTTAGAGGTGGGCTTAACTTGGGAATTTACTTCTCAATTCTCTGTATAATATGATTTTGCCTTCTCATAGAAAATGTCAGAAGTAATTTCAGACAGATAGACAGCCTTATACCAGCTTCACAGGTCTAAAAAGATTGATTATGGCCTGTGATTATTATCGCATTTTTTCAGTATCATTCCTGTTTATTTCCATTCACATCCATAGAGTTAGGAGAACTACAAATTAGAGAAATAGGCAATGAATGAAGCCTATAAGGCTTGCCAGTAAAGGTTTAACAGACCTTTTTTGCTGAGCGTTGGCTTTTTGCAGTTTGACTGGATCATCATTTCAAAGGCAGGAACGAATGCATACTACGATAAACACGGACAGTATTGCTACTTCATGTCACTTTATGCTTCTTAGCTTGGCATTGGGGATAGGTAGGATGACTTGCTCTGGGCAGATTTCTGTCTCTTTCCAAGGTCAATAGACCTTCCTTTAATACAGTAAAAGATGGACAAAAGTATTCAAAGTTAATGAAACCATTCTTTTAGAACTGCTAGGTTTGGCAAAAATGAAGCACAGTCCAGTACTTGCTATACACGTAACAGTTTCCCTCAATTCATCTTCAGCTAAAGTCTCCTGCCAGTTTACAGGAATGAAGGCAGCTAATTGGATTAAAAAGTCTTCATCATAAGAAATGGAAGAAAGGCTGCTGCTCAGTGGGGGATATAGGAAGAGGGACCTGGGAGATATAATTGGGATGGGGGAGCCACACGAGTAAGGAGCCAAAAAAAAAATATATACTGAGATGTGCAGAGAGGATGTGTAGAAAGGACTTTGGGTAAAATAGGACAGTTTTACCTTCCACGTGTCTGGTAAGATTCAGTTCAGCAGTCTCACTGATGTTTATTGTTTCTGCAGGGGAAAGAGACTAAGGCTGGAAGGTGTTCTAATTGTAAAATGTGATCCCAGCCAAATGCCTAACTCCCTTGGCTTCTTATCAAAATCCTCTCCTGCAATTATACATTTTAAAATATTTCCGTAAAAGGATAGGAGAGTGTAATACAATATTCCTTTCAGGTATTACTGAACAGAATAGTATAATTTTCTTCCAATTTATTTCAGTTCAGCCCATATTTCCACTTTTGTTTAGCTCTAAATATATCAGATCCTCACTATATTATAAAATAAAAAAATTAGTTTCTTTATGAAGTTTTATTCGATTTGATTTCTGAACTGAAATCAGTGGTAGCTTCCTATGGAAATGTTGAGGTACTTAACATTTTGGCCTTCTACAGCATGAAACATTTTCTCTGTCAGAATGTCCAGGATGTTTAATGAAGTTACATCTTCATAATC